ATCAGATAAGCCGGATGCTGTGGAGGAAATGAGGCATGTCGCTGTGAAACAGAAAAACAGCAGAGTGTGTTCCTAGTGATTCTCAGGGGTGGAGAGATGCTAGTGTTTCATACCAATGCACACATCAAGGAAGACAGGTGAAAATCAACTTGAGACCTAACAAAAGGCAGGAATTCTTCTTCAGAAATAGGTTTGAGGAATAAAATTCACAAATGATTATGGCAAATGAATATGGCAGTGGAAGCTTGCATGTTTTTTTTTTTTTTTCAAATATAAATACCTAGTGAAAATACTGCAGCATGCATACTAACAAACTGATTCTAAAGTTTAGGTAGTCAAGAAAGACCCAGAACAGACAACTTATATTAAAGGGGAAGAACAAAGTTGAAGGACAAATACTACCCAATACCAAGGCTTGCTATAAAGCTACAGTGACCGAGACATGGTATTGGGGAAAGAACAGACAAATGGATCAGTGGACCAGAATAGAGAAATCAGAGACAATCCCACAGAAATAGTCAGCCGATCTTGGACAAAGGAGCAAAGGCAATACAATGGATTTGTGATAATCTTTTCAAAAATAATGGTGTTGGAACAATTGCCATCCACCTGCGAAAATTGAATCTAGACACAGACCTTACCTGCGCCATAAAAAGTAACTCAAAACGGATCATATATCTAGATGTAAAATACAAACTATAAAACCCCTTGAAGGTAACATTGGAGGAAAATCTCAATGACTCTGGCAGTGTCTTTTAGATATAATATCGAAGACTTGGTCCATGAAAGAAATACATATTAAGTTGGACTTTACTAAACTAAAAATGTCTACTCTGAGTTACAAACCAGAGACTGGGAGAAAATATTTGCAACAGATTCAGCTGATAAAGGACTGTTCTCTAACATAAACATAGAACTCCTCAAGTTTAACAATAAGAAAACAGGGCCTCCCTGGTAGCGCAGTGGTTGAGTGCTGGGTTGCGAAGCTGCCCGCAGCCTCTGCAGCGCCGGTTCGATCCCCAGCTGCTCCCCGGCCACCAGAGGAGGGTCCCACATGGCGCGCAGACCCCTTCTGCCGCCCGCTGCTCCCCTCAGCAGTGTACTTCGGTCCTTCTGCCTGTTCTGTTCCCTGCTCTGGCTCTGGTGAATTCTCTCACCTTCCCGCACTTCCGACTGTACCCAGTGCTTGTATAAATAAATAAATTAATTTAAAAAAATGAGTCTGTAAGTTCCACCTCTTTAAAAAAAAAAAACCAATAAGAAAACAAACAACCCGATTTTAAAATGAGTCAAATATCTTTTTAGACGCAGCACCAAAGAACACACACAGGTGGCAAATGAACATATAAAAGATGCGCCCCATCATGTGGCACCAGGGAATTACAAGTAAAACATCAACAAGATACCACTACACATCTAATAAAATGACCAAAATCTGGACCATGAAAACAACAAATGCTGGCAAGGATGTGGAGCAACGGACACTTTCGTGCATTTTCCCTGGGAATGCAAAATGGCACAGCCACTTTGGAAGACAGTTTCTTACACAAATAAACACTCTTACCATATGATTCAGCAGTTTTGCTCCTTGGTGTTTACTCAGATGAACTGAAAACTTGCCTCTGCACAAAAGCCCCACACATGCGTGTTTATAGCAGCTTTATTTGTAATTGCCAAAACCCGGAAGCAACCAAGATGTCCTCCAACAGGTGAATGAATAAACAAAACTGTGGAACATGCAGACAATGGAGTATTACCCAATGCTAAAAAATAAAGGAGCTATCAAGATATGAAAAGGATTTAGAGGAGCCTTACATGCATATCACTAAGAGAAAGAAGCCAATTTGAAAAGTATAAAGCAATTTTGAAAAAATACTGTATGATTGCAACTCTAGGACATTCTGGAAAAGACAAAACTATGGAGACAGTACAAAGATCAGTGGTAGCCAGGGGTTTAGTGGAGAGGATGGCGCGAACAGGCAAACTGAGGGAAACTACTAAACCCAAAGAGTGGTGTGGGTGGATCTTGGCCAGAAACTTCAGGAAGAGACTAGCCTGACTGCCTGAGCGCTAGCCCAAAGGCTGCTTCCTAAGGCAAGGAGAAGGAGGCGTTTCAGTAGGAGCCCGTTGGACCATCAGTGGAGATTGTAGCGTCAGCTTGGTGTGGGGAATGGAGCAGAAGAGTGGCATGTAGAGGTGGGCCTCTCATGCCATTTGAACTTGACTTCATGAAGATGAGAGAGAAGGTCTGAACCATCAAGCCCCCTAATCCCACTTACTCCGGGCTGACTCGTGCAGATGTTTCTCCATGGCTCTCAGCCCTGATGGCATAAGCGTCACCTAGGGATGGTTTTGTAGAGTACAGATGCCCAGCAGCATCCCCGAATTTACAGTCCTCACTCCTTGCCTACTCAGAAAGATCAGGCCCCCTCCTCGTCCCAACAAGCTTCCATCTGAGCAGGCTGGCTGGGGGCGGTGGCAGCCATGACATGTTAGAGGAGCCATTTCAGAGCCTGCTGTCTCGTTGGTGCAGTGTGTGTGTGTAAGCGCGCGCCCTTGTGTGTAGATGCACCTCCATTCTCTCACACACTTGAGGCGGTGTTTGTCCAGCACTTACAGGACCAGCACCTTCACTGTCAGAAGGGAAAGACCTAGGAGCTGGGAAATCTGAACTTCTAACAACTTCCAAAAAAGCAAAAAACTGAAGCCTCTTCCCCTAGAGGAAACCTTCCAGTTTTTCATGGAAATCCGCATGGATCTTCGACACAGAGCACCTTCACATCCTCACAAGCTCCTCTGCTGCCTCCTCAAGGCTTTTGTGAACCGCCACGTGGGCCGTCTGTCCCACACTTAGTGGCACCCTGAGGTCTTTGCCCCTGTTTTAGACTCCGTCCTCTTCCTTTTCGGTGGTGTTGCTTGTTTGGCCAGTGTCCAAAGTGCTTTGCTTCGAAGCTGCTGGACGTGGAAAAGCAACTGCGCAGCCACGTGAGAAACGTGTCCCTCGAGCCCGGGGGAGCACCGCAGAGGCCCCGCCTGGCCAAGCAACTGCAAGCGATGCAGTCGCTGATTTTGTCTGCTCAGGTCCAGGCCCGGCTCCCATTGGTGTTCCAGACACGGAGGCAGCAACCGAGACCCCCAGACAAAATCGCTTCCGCCCGGCACGAGCCCCCGTCACTTCCATGTCATAAGGACCCAACAGCCACCGTCCAGCAGCCCCGGCCAAGCCACGGTAGGGTTCGTAGCTGTCTTCATACACTTATTGCAGAATGTTGGGTATGCCCAGAGAATTGCCCCAAAGCTTAGCCGTTTTAAGAGATTTTCCATTTATAATAACCAACTACCGAACCCCAGGAAGATGATAAAATAATGACGTTTTGACGGAACATTTTAAAATCCCATTTTTAGTTAAGGGAAGAAAAAACCTGTTTTTCTTAGGAAAATAGTTTATTAAAGGGCACCAGAGAATAATGGTCTTCGAAAGGATCCTTACCTTTTTTTCCCCTTTCATTTTGCTGATTTCAGTAGGATGAGGCCCATTATTATTGCAATAGCCTATTTTAGCAGCGATAAAGGATGAAAGGGCAAGCTGCCCCCCACGGACCACTCCCGCTGCTCACTGCCGAACCAGGAGTTCACTGCGGATGTGACTGTGCAGGTGTGCAGCGAGGCACAGGTCTGACCGAAGAGGAAAACAGCACGAGGGCTGATGTCCACTGCACGGGGACTGCGAACGCGCCGGCTCGGGCCAGAGCACTCAGTGAGCCACTTACTGCTGGGGTGACCGGAAGGAGGTGCGCTTCTCCTACCCCGCTGGAGGCTGAGGGAAGTCAGAGTGACTCGCTCAGGGCCCACAGGGGGATAAGTGACTTTTAGGGAGTCAAAATTCTTAGATCAGAACTGGGCAAATCTAAAGGAATGAGGTAGACTTGTACGTTCTGACAAGATGTCAAGGTCATCCTATTGCTCAGTGAGAAACTCTTTGTGAACCCAAGTGTGTTTGGAGCCCCGACTGACTCCCTTCTAGTGTGGCCCAACACCAGCAGCACTGGCATCCCCTGGGGTGTGTGAGCTGTGCAGAATCTCAAGACCACCTCCCCATACACCCCATCCACCCACCCCCAACCTCCTGAGTCAGAACCAACACTTAACACCAGAGCCAGGTGCTCTGCCTTCGGGGGTCTCTGCACCTGCTGGAATGTTCTTTCCGAGATGTACAAGCCTCCCTTCCTCCCCTATTAACTACGCTTAATATCGCCTGCTCACAGGGTCTTCCCTTGCCTCCACCTAAATGCAATATCCCCATCACCCTCTTTCTCTCCTCATAGGCACAGGCACCCTGAAATCTCACCCAGTTCATCACCCTCACTTCTCCCACTGCTACCTCCCTTTGAGCTGGGGCTTTGTATTCCTAACACCCCAAACCCTGGCTGGGCTGGACGTGGCTGGTAAATATTTTAATGACGAGCCACTTAGATGCAGGACTACATATGATGCAACTATGACGTAACTGAAAATGGTGGCGATCCCTGGGGAATGAAGGGGTGGCTGAGGAAACGAACACGCCTCTTTTCTCCTTCTGTACTCCTTACCACTTTCCAAAGGCATGTGCAGGTTCCGCGGTGTACAGACACTTTTCAGAGAGTTTACCCAACCATCTCAAGATAGATCACACCACGGAAACAAAGCAATAATACCTCACCTCCTAAAAAAGTCTGAGGCTTTATTGATTTGTCAGTCCACACTCTAATAAATAAGAAGCTATCCCTTTCGGGGCCTCTTTGTTCCCCCCAGAAAGGCTATCATGTTGTACAAAGCATTTTATTTTTGAGGTTCAGACATCACACCTATACCACGTAGACAGTGTTGCCCTCACTGGCAGGCAGGCCCAGGGCGCTGCCTGGCCCCGGCTGGGTACAGGCCCTCACACGCAGCTTCGGGTGACAGGCTCAAGAGTAGGAACTCAAGCAGATTCAAATCAGAGTCCACAAAAGAAAACCATGTTTACTGATGAATCATTTATTTGGACAAGACAAAAACGTCTCCACATTGTTTCCTTTTATACAGAAAGTGGAACATTTCAAATATATTAGTTTTTCTCTTTTTTCCAGCAGAATTCATTTCAATCTGGTTGCAGGGACTGCTTCTCGTTTTAGGATTCACGTTTTAGTAACACATACGCCCCCATCACAGCCAAAAGAGCATACTGTAAAGTAAACACAGTGGAAAATTACTGCCAGGTCTACAAAGAAATCTGGCCTATAAATACATTCAGATGCAGTCCGTTCGATACTGGACAGAGGACAGAACCCAAGATGCCCTCTGGCCCCAGCCTTGTTCTCCGGAGTAGCTGTTCAGTGCCGCATTAAGGTGGAACACCCCAAAATACATTGATGGACCAAAGATTAAATGCCCTACAAACACAGCTAGTCCACAACTCGTTCCTGCGGGGGTGTCCTACTGTTTCTGAAGTGATTTTAAAATATGTACAGATACCATTTTTGTCAAAGTTGGGAGATAAGCATTATGGGATTTATTATGCTGTATTTTTGGCGTGTTTAAAGATTTCCATAACAAAAAGCCACAACTATAAAAGTGTCTCTTTAGAATACACTATGAACCTAAAAGATAAACACAGCTATTTTAAATAATTCATTTCATTGTTGACAATTTAAATGATTATGTTCATTTGTAGTTAATTATACTCTGCAGGAAAACTGACTAGCAAAACATTTTGAACAGAGAACATCATTACAACTGCACATGTGCAAGCTCTAATATTCTTTTATAACTACAGATACACACACGAATCCCTACCTTGAATTTTGGATAGTCGTTCATTATTATGGTGACCATACCAACATATGGTAAAAACCTGAATTGTGGAATAAAAAGCCAGAAATATAAAAATTATTTGTGACATGATGATAGCAACATTTGAAAACGCTGTAAAATCCGCCTTATGAAACATGTCTTCCTTAGGAATGCCACTGATGGGGCCTGTGAGAACCATACTCATTTCATTCTTTTTTTTTTTTTAAAGATTTATTTATGTATTTATACAAGCACTGGGTACAGTCAGAAGTGCGGGAGGGTGAGAGAATTCACCAGAGCCAGAGCAGGGAACAGAAGAGGCAGAAGGACCAAAGCACACTGCTGAGGGGAGCAGCGGGCGGCAGGAGAGGTCCAAAGCAGACATTTCTAACCAGAGTTACATGGAGTGAGAAGGGAAGACCTGCCTTTTTTGTTTTTTTAAGAGGATTCACTCGTTGTGTCACTCAGAACAGAATCATTGCTGGAACAATTGTGCAGAGATGGACACTAAGAGATATATCACAGAACTGCTCTTAGTAGTAAAGAATAGGAAATAATTTACTAGTTCACCAAAAGAAAACTGGTTAAATAAATCATGACTCTCAGGGGGCCAGCATATAACCATCTGAAAAGAAATTTATTTGACACAGAAATCTAATTCCAACTTCCTATTGGGAAATAAAAACAAATTTTTTTAAGACCAGAACAGGCAGATTTATTCACATATACTGCTAAGAGAAGCAGTGGGCAAGACAGGAGAGATATACTGCATCAAAAATCAAATTTTTGGGCCTCCCCGGTGGCGCAGTGGGTTGAGCGCAGCACCGTGAAGCTGTCCACAGCCTCTGCAGTGCGGGTTCGATCCCAGCCAGCTGGCAAGAATCCCACATGGCGCAGCAGACCTCTCCTGTCTTGCCTGCTGCTCCCCTCAGCAGTGTATTTCAGTAGCTCCGCCTGCTCTGCTCCCTGCTCTGTCTCTGGTGAATCCTCTCACCCTCCCGCACACCTGGCCTGTACCCCAGCTTGCGTATAAAAATAATAAATAAATCTTAAAAAATTTTTTTTTAAAAATCAAATTTTCCTATGCAAAATTATATATTATCTATGCATACTCACATCTACACCAGAAGAGGATATATCTAGAATATTCACCAAGTATTAGAGTGGTTACTTCTGGAAGGATTTCTTGTAATTGCTATGTAAAATCCACAAATACCCCATTTCTAAGTAAGAATTTCAAAAGAAGAATTAAATCCACAATATAGATAATATACTTGTATTCAATTTAAGTCTTTAGTGTGTTTGGCATTTTATTCAATCTTCATAGTACAAACTAAAACTACTTACTGCTCCACTGCCATATAATATTTATAATGGATGATTCCACTATTCTATAGTTTCGTTGTTTCTAAATATCTTTCAGGTTTATGAATCTTCCTTAGAACTTAAAAGTCAGTTCTCACCCTCTGGCTCTTCCCACCACGTCCTTCTTTTCGAGCCAGTTCTGGCCTTCTTTGTACAAGCCTCTATCGTCAACTTCATTATTGTCTCCTTTTGTCAGAAATTTGATGTCACCATTATCTCTGGAAGGCAAAACAATGTTTCTTCAAAAATCATTTTCAGCACAGCACCATTAGAAAAATATTAGTTTACCCAACACTTTACAATCTGGCATGGGCTTTTAGAAGCAATCAAAGATAACTTGATCTGTCTTGGTCTGAGACGACAAGACAGACAACCATCAGCCAAAGCACAAATCTAACAACGGTTTTGTAGACTTAATTCTAAAACTCTCGAGTTACCGTGACAACCAAAAACCACAGCCAAATACTAGGCAATGATTAGCTTGCTACGGGTAACTGTCTTTATCCTCTCAAGCTCTCAAGGACCAAGTTGTTAACATGAATTGTATTCATCTTCACTCTAGATATGAAATTGGTCCCAGATGACAAAGATCTGATCCCAAAGTAATTCAAATGCTTAGCTCTTGTCAAACTTACCTTCTCTTACCAAGTGTAGAATGTGCTAATGCATTACATATTTCATCACTGAGCAAAGTGGTGTAAAATCCAGTTTGCAGTGAATCACAAGAGCATAAACCCAATGTGCTAAGAGACACTTGGGATTCATTTTAAACATTGTAGCCTGGTGCTTAGATAGCCTACATGCCAGAAACACAACATTATACTACAGTATTATAGGGCTATAAAGAGAGTCTTCTTCTGATAAGATGAATAAAAAAATGTATTATCATAATTTCATCAAATGTTAAAAGCCCACAAAGATCTGCAACCACGTCAAAAGGAGCAAGCTGGTTTGCAGCCATGGTGATGAGGATATCAGGAGGATAAATATCGAGGCTGTCTCTCCCAATTCATGGAAATGGCAGCAAACTCTCAGCATTTCATCTACTCTGAACAGTCTCTCATCTTTAGAAGTTATTTTTAAATCAGGTGAGAGTACTGTCACGTTATCACCGAGTGTATGTCTACATTAATTTGAGTAGTAGACAAGCAATACTAGTACAGTACCAGGGAATTAACACAGACTGAAAGGGAGGCTTCTAAGGTTCAGAGTCAAGCAAGTGAATGGTTAAGGTATCAGCATCTTTGGACACAACACCTAGAAGCCATAAAATGAAATGGGAATCTAAAACTAAATGTACAAAATTATGGACACACACACACACACGTTGAGAAATTCATTATTTTAAATACACAAATATGCATACCTAAACTTAATCCCATGATTCATGCAGGTAAAAAATGCTAAACTAAGTTGTATGAAGTTAAATGACTGACCAAGGTACATAAAATGTAACATTTTTCACTAATCCCTGAGTTGTATTTTCTCAGAATTTAATATATTGGCGCTAAAAGCAATTGTACCAGAAAGTATCCTAGGTCATTGCTGACATTTACGGGAAAGGCAAGGCCATTTTTGGGGAAAGGAATTAATGTAGGTGAGTGGGGTGAGGAATTCCTATCTCTCCAGGGGTTAATATTACTGCCACTTGGTCCAAAGTGACACAGAAACAAGTAGCCTTTTTTGCATTTCAGAAGCTAATTCTCACATCAAAATAATCCTTAACTACAATGGGATTCCATTTCAAGACTGCTTCAAATAACTAATATTATGCTATAATAAATTCCACCTTACACTGAGCACCAAATTAAGTTTTTAAGTGCTTTAGTAATCATTGATTTGCTTAATTTTCACCATCACCCTTGAGTTATTGTAGGTAAGTTACTGTGTTAACTTAAGTTCTTGTGCTAACACTCACATTATTACATTAATTAACTGAAGTTATTGTGTTAACACTCCTATATTCCAGGCTAAGTAACAGCACCAATGTCAAATAGCTAGAAACAGGAGAACATGGAACATAAAACAGTGCTTTAGCTACTTTCTGATTAAGCATTAAGTATCTACCAAAAATTTACAAAGCCAAACCAGCAAGAAGCAAAGCCTCTTTACTTTTCATGAACTTTGATCACTCTGTGAACTATTGGAATGTCTCGTCCTTCAACTTTAAAAACAACGATTTCACCAGCTCGAATGGGATCTTCCCGGAAGTTTGTCAGGAACAGCAGGTCGCCCCTGTGGAAGGCTGGCTCCATACTGCCACTGGAACGAAACACAAAGTCACACCCGAATTACCCTGGGGTCAAAGGCGAGCATTTCCATCCATAAAGATGGTAGATGAAATATCTGAGTTAAAGTTCCAACTCATATCCCTGACCAAGTCAGTCTTGGTCAGCCACAGAGGATTCCTTCTGCCAGATGTTATCAGAGGTGATAGCATGATATGAAAAAGGAAACAATTGCTTCTTAGAGTTAAATATGGGAAGGGTGCTAGCAGCCCCTCCGCAGTTTGTAGGAGGCAGGAAAAGAACCAATAATAACGTGATATTTTTAGAAAAGAATCTCAGTCTGAGATAACAATTGAGGAATGAGGCCGGCCACCCCCAGGTCCATCTCAGAGACAAGAGGAACGCACTGCGGTTTGGCCTCTGGCGTCATTAGCGTGTCCTCCCAGGAAAGCAGGTCTTTGAAATGTCTCACTGACATCAACTCATGCTTGCATTCCTCATGGGCCAGTGGCTCCCCAAGATCAGGGTTCCTCAGGGTCAAGTTTATGTTGACAAACCACACTGCTTCAGAGTGGTGACATGTGATTAAAAAAATAAAGCCCCTCCCTCCTGCAATTTCACGATAATTTCTCTGTGCAAGTGTGTTTGTGTTATGTGAGGGAAGCTGTGGTTTGGGGTCTGCCAAAAGTAACTCTGAGGTGCAACTGACTTGGCCTCGATGGGCGTCAGGTTCCTTACCAGTTAAAGTTTTCACTTTCTTTTTGTGAAGTCTTAAAATCCTTATTTGAAGCGTACTCTCACTAGGAAGAGTAACGAGCACAATACATAAAAGCAGGGCTGCCACAATTGAAGCCAGGCTAAGGCATCAGGAGCCCGTGAGCTAAGACACCCCACCCCCAGTCTATCCAGCTGGACCCCAGTGGATTCGAGGCCCCCTCAGCTCTGGGTGGGAGCTGTGCTATCCTAAGGCTCCTGAGTTTATTATAAAACGCTGCATATCTAGTTGTGGGCCTGAGGCCAGTCACCCCGGAGGCCTGGTAAAGCCAGAGCGTTGGCTGTAGCCCTGTGACATTGCAGCAGGTGGTGGGGGGAAGGGCCCTGGCATGGGTGCTGAGAACCCTGCATGCAGGCCTTGGTCCCTGCACTGGCCGGCTGTGACCCCGCTCAAGTTACTGCTACACCCCTGAACCCCACACCCCACCTGTCACACCCTCTATCCACCCGCACTAAGACTCAATAACCTAAGGTTGGATAGAGCATCTAAGGCACCTCATGACTCCAGAACATGCTTATTTAATTTCAAATGGTGGTTTTTCCCTTTGGATGTCTGCAGGGGCACGTGAAGTCAACTGAAGTGCGAACTTTCCTAAAACTTTCCTGCTGTTTTTTAAGAGTAATGGTCACCTATAAGAGTATGGCTGAAGAAGTGTGAGAAACTACCACACGCTGTGTAAGATGCTGGGGATGCACGCTCTTTGCCCACTGGGTACAAAGAAGACAGAGAACTCATTTTAAATTAGTTATGTTTAAAAATCCATTTGTGCAGGCCTCCCTGGTGGTGCAGCGGGTTGAGTGCAGTGCTGTGAAGCTGTCCACAGCCTCTGCAGCACAGGTTCAATCCTGGCTGGCCAGGGAGATACCCACGTGGCACAGCAGACCTCTCCTGTCTCGCCGCTGCTCCCCTCAGCAGTGTATTTCAGTCAGTCTGCCTGTTCTGTTCCCCACTGTCACTGGTGAGTCCTCTCACACCCTGCACCTCTGGCCTGTACCCCAGTTCTTGTATGCATAAATAAGTCTTTAAAAAAATGCAAAAGTTAGTCAGTTCATCGCACTGGAGAACAAGCACCAGTGTGATTAAAGCTCTAACATGCCTATTGAGAAAGATGAGGCTTCTCAACGGGCCAGGAAAAAACACAGCCCTAGAGACATCAGTGAAGATGATGCTAACACTGTCACCGACTGACCACTGGGTCCCAGTAGCCCCTTGGGCTGCCCCAACGGCAGCGCCACCACCTACCTGAGCACCACCACAATGGGGCTTTCGCTGCCCGTGAGAACAATCAGGCCCTTCCAGATCATGAGTGCAGAAGACACGATCATGGCGAAGTTCAAAACCTGGTAGTAGAGCTGGAACAAAAAAGGCCAGACCCTCAGTGAAAACCCAGGGCAGAACATCCACCCGCCCTAAACGGCACAAGTGTTCATTGCGATTTTAGGACATGAAACCAAATCACACAAAGCACAAGATCACGTAATGTTGCAACTTTTGTCCGTGGAGAGAGCACCCCAGGTCTGGCTCCCCTTCCCAGACAGGAAAGGCGGGAACAAAAACCAGAACTGTGCTTAGGCCCTGCTTTGCTAAAGCTTCTCTAAGACTGTTTACCTCTGGGGAATCCTCAAACTTTCAACCCTGAAGGGCCTGCCACTCAGGTTGCACCTGCTGCTCCCTACGCAGTGCTCAGGTCCAGCCTGAAACCACTCCCTCACCCCAGGGCCCTGGTGGCCCCCTCGAAGCCTGAGTGCTTAGCAAAGGGGCCGCTCTGCGTGTGACATCATACTTGAAAAGTGAACAAAAGCTTTGAACACCTGCATGTTTAGATCTTCCATACCTTAAAGGCAAATACCTGAACAGGTGAACAGCAAATATTTATTTTAGAAGTCAGGCGGGAAGGCCACTTGAGGCAAAAATCTTACTTCCCCAGCTGACCTTGCCCACCACAGACCACTGAGCTGAGCCACACAGGTCTTGGCCTCACTCTGGTACCTCACATGCTGAAGCACCAGGCTCTTCCTTGCACCACTGCCTGCCCCCGTCAACCCCTGGGGATGACGGGAAAAAGCAACACTTGCCCACATCACAACACCCTGTTGGGCTATGGGTGACCTGTTACCCAGGAGTCTCCGGTCCTCCAAGAGGCTGTAGGGACTGGAGCAGCCTTACTGGACTTAAGCCCTCAGCACGGCCACTGGACTGTGCTCCAGGAGGGCTCGTTTCTCTGGCAGCTGCTTCAACCCTCCGTTTCACAGCCCCTGCAGCTACCCAGGGGACCTGACGCCCCAGTGGTGATCCCTCCAACACTGGCAGCTCAGTACTTAGGCCTCCGCATCTCCACTTGAACCATACCCTCAGCAACACGCCTGGCACTGAAGACCCTCCAGCCCTGCATCTCCAATCCAATTCTCCCTCAGCCTGACCACACAGGCCTACACTCCAGGCCTCTGTGCTCACCTTCACCCCTTCACCTGTCTTTCTACCACCAGGCAGTCCCTCAATGGACAGGATCCACAGCCTCCATGAGGCCTGGCTGCCCTTACTCCAGAACTTCTGTTTACCCCTCCAGGATATAAACTTCTAGAAAGTTCTCTACCTGGGAGGGGAGAACCTCCAAGTGGAGTGGGGGAAGACAGGTAGGCATGTTTCTGCTTTCCCAGCCTTTTTATACACTCCATGTATTTTAACCCCACCTCCTCCTCCACCCCCAGCCCTGGGGATTCCTGGCACAGCCAATTCTTGAGTCTTTGAAGATTCTGCATCACAGACTGTTTCCCCACTGCTGGCTCTGGCTCTGTCAGATGCCACTCTCCCATCTATTTTCTAGTTCCTGGTGTCTGACTGAGCATCCTATCTTGGTATAGCTGATGACTTTTCAAATCCCCTTGTTATAGTCTGAATGATGTTCCAGAAAAGAAAAACAAGCTAGGTTTCATTCCATCTTAACTACCTCCCAGCTCACCCAACCAGCTTTCAAGAACATCCTTTTGAAATGAGTTTGGAACTTCTTAAGTCTCACTTTAAATCCCAGTTCCTAGGGGAAGCGTGCCCTGACCCACTAGACAAGGAATCAACAAAATTTTTCTGTAAAAGCTAAATAATAAATATTTTTGGTTTATAGACCCTATAGTCTCTGTTGAAATGACTCGACTTTGCTATTGTAGTAGGAAAGCAGCTATAAACAATAAGTCAAAGAATGAACATGGCCGTGTTCCAATAAAGTGGTGGGTGGGGTGGAGTTTACAGACCTCAGCTATAGAGCCTCGGTCCTCCTGTTGTATGTTCTCACTGCGCCCTGTGCTCCTATCGATGCATATTCATTGCCAACATGTCTTTCACAACTGACTGGAAGTTCCACAAAGGTGAGGAGTGTTCAGCCTTGTCCACAGCTGTATCCCCAATGTTCAATAATGGCCTGACAAAAGGTAACTACTCAATTTATTGAATAGTGATAAAATGAATGTCTTTAATATACGGTGAGCACAAACCAGTAATAAGAAAAGCATTGAAATCCAAACCAAAAAACCAAAAAGAGGTAGAAGCTTAAAGGTATTACTTTTCCAAGAAGAAATACAAGTGGTAGAAAACACTTAAAATGTATAAACCAAATCCTGCCTCTACCCTCTCCTGCCTTTAATTTTTCTAGCAAATTTAAAGGAATTTTGTTTTTTAATGCCAATACTCAGTGCTTGGCAAGGGTGCCTTGTGATGGAGGTGCAAGTTGATACAATTCCTTCTGAAAGTGATTTGGCATTAGAATCCAGAGGTTAATCTTGGCTCAGTAGTTCTAGGAAATTGTCTAAAATCAAGGCAGATAGGGAGTTTTTAGGGGTTTTCTAATAATGGGGCAGCGACAGATCGCCACATCATTCAGAACATACATAAAGAATATTCGTAACAGGGCCTCCCCTGGTGGCGCAGCGGTTGAGCGCTGGGCCGCAAAGCTGCCAGCAGCCTCTGCAGTGCCAGTTTGATCCCCGGCCACCGGTGAGGGTCCCACATGGCGCGCAGACCTCTCCTGCCGCCCGCTGCTCCCCTCAGCAGTGTACTTCGTCAGTCTGCCTGTTCTGTTCCCCGCTCTGGCTCTGGTGAATTCTCTCCACTTCCCGCACTTCTGACTGTACCCATGCTTGTATAAATATATAAATAAATAAATCTTAAAAAAAAAAAGAATATTCATAACATCACAAAATACTTAACATATGTTGAGTAAAAAATGCAGGCAGCAGCAGAATCTCCACAAACTGTAACAGTTCAGAAAGCAAATACATAGAGATACCCCAAGACGCTAATAGAGGCTTGCTTAGAACAGTGGAATTAAACTTCTTTCCTTTGTTAAACTACAATCTATTTTGTAAAATTCCTACAACGAGCATAGATTAATTCCAAAGTCGGGGGCAGTGTTTTACGGAAGTGCCATTTAACAGGATAGTATATGGTTGTTAAGATAAAAATTTTGAAGAATGTGACAAAATACTGCCATATGATAGAAAGAGCTTAAAACTGTCCTTTGCTGATAGTATACCTATAGGAAACTGTGTGACTTAAGGTAATTATGGAGGATATGATGAAATTGGGAACATTAAAAAAAGTGAATTAAAATAATTTTGAAGATATTTTGACATAATAAATAAAAATAGGAAATTTAATGTGTCAATAATTTAAAGTTACACACCATTTTTGAAAACTTCTGGGCTACTGCATCAGTAGCAAATTATGAAGTTACATTTATATTTCCAGGAGAGCATAAAAAGGAAAGAGAAGTGTTAAGTGATGGCCTTTGTTAAAGTGTTGAGCTAGAAGACACCGAAGGGGTGCATCTAAAGTATAATCAGTCTTGTAAGTCACATCAGCCCAAAACAGAAGCTGTTCACTAAAGGTCACGCTCAAAAACTCCACCTGCTCCTCTTGACTTAAAAGATTTGATGAAGAAATGTTGTTTCATTATGAATCACAGATCTAGTTAGGAAAGCTCCCAGCCATGGCCTTAAACAGAGATTGCCATTTTCAGAGAAATTTTCAAACAATGTGGCCCACCCTGATAAATGCAAACTATAAAATCATGCCACTTACCTACTAAAGATTGCATACAAAAAGATATTCGAACATACATATTATATTTTTATAATTTCTTTTCTTAACGTATGTATTTTACATCACTGTGTAGTCCCCGTAAAATTCCCACCACCAGTTCACCCATGAACCATCACCATAGTCCCTTGTGCTCTTCTCTCCCATGTTTTGATTCCTTTTCATCCCCCTCCCTCACAGAATGAACATATATTTTTTCTAAGTTTGAAAAATACATTGAGGGGAAATAAAATCAATTTCTAAAAAAAAAGTCCTATGAACAAGATATCTTATTTGCTAAAGAAACGCCAATTATACTGAAACCTAATGATCATGCTAACTGCACAACTAGAAATCACAATCTCACTACACTGGGAAATGTTGATCAAGCTACTGACAAGCTGATTGGATTCTGAAAAATACACTACCACGTTTCACAGTGCCTTTTGTTGTTGTTCCTTTTTGCCCACCAACTCTGTATGCTTGGCACTTAACCCCAGCAGAGTTCAGATGCAAGTGCACAGTCAGTCTTTGTGAACCAAGGATGAAATAGCCAGTGTCTAAGAGTTTTAAGCAAATATTTCAGACCAGATGTTTTGGCTGACAGAGCAGCAGAAAAGCCAATAGCTGTATTTCTTCCTCTCTTTCTCACTGTGGAAACAGAGAGTCCTTGTATCTGCATGTGGCTTTTGCTTTAATTAGCAGCAGAGAAAGGAAGTCCCGCTTGCAAGATCAGTGGGCATGTGTTCTGACAAGGTGTCACTGGATGCTACTTTGGAGGGAAAAAGAAAAAAGCAAAAGGACAAAGCTTTTTTCAAAAAGTACCAGGAGGTATATTTGAGCTTCTGAATTTTAACTGGAAGATTAGCAAAGCACAGAGAGTGCAAATTGCTACTGATGAGCCTTATCACTGACAGTGGGAATGTATAAGTCTTTCAAAAGGCAAACTGGTGTCAGGAATGATGCATTCATCAGGCCTTCTCTGAATCTGCAGTAGAAGCATCAGCAATCAGAACCAATTTTAGAGACATTTTTAAAACCCAGCCAAAAAGGCTAGATTTTTAAATAAAGCTCCATTTTCTGGAGAATTTTCTTGTAAAATGAATGCTCTGGGTATTACAGTTGTTATTCAAACTGGTGATAATCTCTGCCACAGTTCACTGTAATTGTAGAAACTCCTAGGATCTCATCAGCTATGCAGAGCTAGGAACAACTAGATTTTTGAACCACAGTTCATGAAATTCAAGTCACCAAACTCTTGCACTCTATGGCAGTAGTCTGAAATTCTACTTGGGAAAAAAAAAAAAACAAAATTAAACCATATGCTCAAAGGAATAAGTTGTGCCCTGTTATGGGTGACCGCACTCGGTAAAGGGAGATCAAGGGAACAGGATGCTGTCCAAATTCTGAGAATTAATACCATTTTCAAAGCAATGAAAACTTCTGCATAGGAAGTGTCTGTTTTTCTTAGCATAACTTACTAGTAGTATGAATAGGAGTCTTAGTTTCCTTTTGGAGCCACCAGGATCCATTATATCTGGGTCCTAGGGATCCCCTACATTCTAAGGGGCTTCAGCAATCACACTTTTCCTGACTGAGAGGGGTTCTTTTCCAGTCCCTCTTCACCCTTTAAAAGCAGAGATGCAGGGGCTTCCCTGGTGGCCCAAGCTGTTAAGACACAACCTATGAAGCTGTCCTCAGCCACTGCAGCATTCCCAGCCAGCCAGGGAGCTACCCACATGGCGCAGCAGACCTCTCCTGTCTAGCCCGCTGCTCCCTTCAGCAGTGTATTTCAGTCAGTCTGCCTGTTCTGCTCCCCACTCTGTCTCTGGTGAATCCTCTCTCCCCCCACATCTCTGGCCTATACCCCAGCTCTTGTATGCATAAATAAATCAATCTTTAAAAAAAAAAAAAAAAAGCAGAGATGCAGGCCAGGAGCTGGCTAAGGAGAGAGTAAAAAGGAAGCTTTCCTGGGAGGTCCTCTCAGAGTGTCCAGTGCAGGAGCTAGAGAGGGCTTCGCTGCTCCCCTGGAACGCTGATCCAAGCCACAATGAGTGAGCACCACCTGTGAGCTCTGGCACAAGGAGCTTTGTTCAGACCCTGTGCAAGGCGAGGAAAGCACTTCCCCAGCCGGGAAGGCACTTCCGTGGGCGGCATGACCGGACAGCCCCATCGACAGACAGGTCTCCGAGTCCCTGCCCTTCTGCCCCTGCCATCGCGGACACCCCCCTCTGGGGGTCAGGCCTCAGCAGCCCCAGGGCAATCTGTCACCCCTTTCCAGCAGGCAATCCCTCACGCAGGTGCAGACGGTTGTCACTCACGCCCGAGCCACGGCTCCCGCGTCTCGGCCACACCCGCCGGCCCCAGGCCCGGGGTCACAGCCCCTTCCCCTCCCGGCCGCCCCCCCGCTCCGCGCTCCGGCCGGGGCAGGCGGCTCGCGCGCGCGCCCACGCGGGGTGCGTGCAGATGAGCCCCGGGCGGGCAGCGCCAGAGCGGGAGCGGGGCGCCGCCGACCCCGGCCGCGGGGCGCGGTCCTTGCAGCCCCCCCAGGACGCGCGGCTCCCCGCGGGCACGGCGGGTGCAGGTGCCCGGGCGCGCCCCCCACGCGGGCCCCCGATACCTGGCGCTTGTTCATTTTCCGTAGGTCCCCGAAGATGTCCAAGCTGGACGCGGGGAGGTGCGTCCCCACGGCGCCCGCGCGCACCATGGCGGGGTCTCGGGGGCCGAGGCGCGCGGCGAGCTCCGGGGTCCCTGACAGCTGCGAGCACCGGCCGGCCCCGCCCCCAGCCCCGCGTCCGGGGCCACGTGACCAGCGGTGCTCTCGGGCGTCTGGGAGTCGTAGTCCTGCGCGTCTGGGCGACCCGTCCGCCCGGAAAGGGCCGGAAATTAAAAAACTACAGTTCCCAGAATGCTGCGGGGCGAGAGCCTCGTCCACTGAAGACCCAGGGCTGCTCCCGGGGTGGACGGCGGCGGGGCTCGGGAGCCTCCTGCGACCCCTCCGAGGGAATTTGGGGGCTGATGACCCTCCATGTGTCAGGTGCAAACGGGGGCCAGTGGCTGCTCAGAAGAAGCGAGCTCCCCGAGACTCTGGTCAGGCGCCAAGAGGACACCTAAAGCGCCCCGCTCGCACCGAGCCGTGTGTCTCCGCCATTGGACGGCGGCGCGGGCGGGCGGGGCGCGCGGGGCGGAGCCCCAGGGGGGCGCGGCCGGGGCGGGGCTGGGAGGTGGCGGGGACTTTGAAACTCTGAGCTGCGGCGGTAGGCTTGGAAAGCAAAGAGGCATTTTTGCATCCCTTTCATCAGATTAGGTCGCAGCGGATAGGAAGGGAATGAATAACCAGTGTATGTTATGCATGAGGACACAGGCCCCCAGGTCAAATGCCACAGCCAAAGTTAAGTGGCAGAGTCTGGAATAGAGCTCAAAATTTAAAAAAAAAAATTTTAAGATTTATTTATTTATGCATACAAGAGCTGGGGTGTAGGCCAGAGGTGGGGGGTGAGAGGATCCACCAGAGACAGAGTGGGGAGCAGAACAGGCAGACTGACTGAAATACACTGCTAGGGGAGCAGCCGGGGAGACAGGAGAGGTCTCTTGCGCCATGTGGGTAGATCCCTGGCCCGCTGGAGATTGAACTCGTGCTGCAGAGGCTGTGGATTGCTTGTGCGGTGCTTAATAGTGCGATGCTTAATCCCTTGCGCCACCAGGGAGACCCAGAACTCAAAATTTTAAATTGGCAAATCCTGGATTACTGCTGTCCGGACCCTAGATTATCTTTAGTTCATAATTCACTAATTTGGGCATTGTTTATTTCATTCACTAGTTCACAGATTTGGGGGGAGCACTTACTATGCACTTCACCCTGTTCTAGGCACTTGAGAATTAGTGTACAAAACAAGCAAAAACTCTAGCCCTCATGAAGCTTACATTGTAGCAGGGGGAGATTTCATAAATAATTACACAGTATCTGGAGGAAATAAGAAACTACCTATATGTCTTCTCATAATAAAAAAATGAGAGAGGCTGGGGGCTCTGGGGGAAAGGCGCCTGTTGCTATTTAAGATGTCCCAGAAGCTGACTTCCGATGAAACAAAGGTAAGCTTTGGGACTCTTCAATTGCAAAATCCCCTCCCAAGGCCTTGAAGAAAAAATGATCATATGGCCTTAGAATATTTTCAAAAGCAAGATATTTGAATTGCTATTGGTAATGAGTCCTGTTTTTTGCATTTCAAGATCTCCTCTGTGATAATTCCTTTCACACTGGAGGACAAGGAGCATTTTGAGGATTCAGTTAAGGAGAAGTTGAATGGAAGATACATTTGCTTTGAATTTAGAGGTTATGTTTACGTGGTTCCTGGTCATCTCCTGCCATCCTGATGTTGGAAAGTTTTCTCCAAATACTGTCCCCATTGTGCCAATTCACCTGTTAAGCAGGCAGTGGCACTAAAGATGTGAGAGTGGCCACATCAGTGGCATCCTGATGTGAGAGTGTCCTATAGCCCTTGGCTTTGCAAGTAGGTGGGCAGTAGTGGAAAAACAAGGCTTGAATCAGAAGTAGTCTGCGTGAAATTCTACCAAAGATCAGCTATACACACTTGTAAGTGGAAAATACTGTTGCCCTCAGTCCAGGAAGATACAGTGGTCATTAAAACTAGTACTAAAAACTGAAACTAGGTGGTAGCAGTGAAAATGTTTAGATGTGTTCAGATTCTGGATTTATTTTGAAGGTAGAGTCCTCAGGAGTTTAAAGAATGGACAGAGGATATGAGAGAAGAAATGAAATTAGAACAACTCTGGGGTTTTCAGCCTGAGGAGCTGGGAGGTTAGCATTGTCCTTAACTGAAAAGAAGGCCGCTCGGTGCAGCAGGTTTCGAGAAGAGTTCACGTGCTTGACCAGCGAGCCAGCGCTTTCCAGTCCCCTGTTCTCAGGTCACATCCTCTGGGCTTTGCCTCTGCTCTTGTGAATTTGTTTCCAAGCAGTGTATGTGGAGAGAGAGGGGGATGGGGGCGAGGGGAATTCTGGAAGATTAGATCCTGGAAATTGAATGACTGAGCCAAAGCGCATGAACACTTAAAGTTTACATTTTCCTGCAGAAAGGCTAATTTCTAAATCTGTACAGTAAAGATGATAAACAGTCTTGGAATGTCAAATTGGAAGGGACTATAGACATCACATAGTTGCAGCCCAAGGGGCCACTGATGGAGGATCAGATCAAGAAGACATGGTATAGCCATACAGTGGACTACTGTTCAGTCGGGAGAAAGATGAAATGCTGCCATTTACAGCAGAATGGAAAGAGTTGGAGGGAATTATGTGTAGCAAAGCAAGTCATAATGAGACAGGAAATATTGGATGTTTGACAAAGCAAAATATTGGATGTCTGACAAAGCAAAATATTATAAAAACATCAGACACTAATAAACGTAGTGAGGTCCCTGACACTAAGCAGGCCTGGGGAAGGAGAAAGGGTCAGATGGGGTAAAGGGATGGTACTGGGAAAGAAAAAAGAAACCACGTAGTTAAAATCTTTTCACCTTTTTGATGGTGAGCATAAGGCTCAGAGAAAGAAATGACTTCTCAGTATCACACAAATTAGCTAAAACAGGAAGAAGCAAGAAACTTAAATTAGTCGACTAGACCTTAAGAAATTTGATTTTTTTAAATAGATGTTTAAATCTTGTTAACCCAAAGTAAAGTGGTGAGCTGAGGCAATTTTTGGTGTCATGTTATTGCAAGGGTCCCACATTTCCAACAAAATCACCTGGGCTTCAGCCATAGGTGACTTTGAAGCCTGAATTACCTACCCATTAGCCAATTGCTCCATTTAGAGTCATATCTCATACTTCAAAGGGCCTATCTAGGTCAAATCTCCACCCACAGCTGGCATCTTCTCTGAAAAGCTGGACAACCATAAAGCCTTTATTGAAACGATATTGAACAGCTCTGGCTAGCTCTTTGTCAGAGAACCTTGAAATTCTCTAGCAAAAATAGAGCAGGGAACAAACACTTATCAAAAAATTATGCTCAACAATGTTAAATTGCACTTCCTTAACACTAGGCCCTTCAAAACAAGGAAAGAGGCCATTTGATATAGGGGGAAAAGGTAGGAGCTATGACCCCAACTGACCCCCACCCCTTGCAACCTCACACACCTGGCCACAGGGCAGGGTCCACCCTCAACATGCACCTGTTCCCTCTGCATGATGCGTCTGTGATGACGTCATCTGGGAGCTCTGTTGTGCATCTATTTTTGATGCTACTGGGCCCAGTTTTGTCTGTTTGACTTGTTGTTATAAAGGAAGTTATTTAGGTCAATTGAGGTCTCAAAACACCATCAAGCCCCCCACTCCACTTGGCTGGGACTCGTTTCCCCCAACCCCCGTCTCGGTCCTCATCTCCTGTCTCCATCTGCAGCACTGCTGTGATGTCAAATACAGTCTTTGCTCATACGCGCTCATATTCTCCAAAGGACTTGGACAAGGAGCAGAGTTTACTTACCTTTGGCTCTACAGCTAATATCTGGGGTGACCTAGTTTAACTGATGTCATAAAGCAAGCATTCCTCTACCCCAGTCTTGATCCTTATAGGGTTTTCTTTGATTCATTATGTATCTTGGTCTCAACATAGTAGTTCTTTATTTCTCCTTTTTCCATGGAGAAATAAGCATATTAACTCTACTTGTAAAATCCCCTCAACCCAGGCGTCCATCCTCCCAAATACTCTCACTCCCCTCTCGTAAGATAAGCAGAAATAGCACTTTCAGAAATTTCCCATGCAACAATTGGTTCGCTCTCTAATTTATTGATGGATTTGGTCTGTTGGCCACTAAGAATCCAGAGGCCCCGCTCTTAGGACCAGCTGAAGCTGTCAGTGTGCAGACCTGATTCTAGGGAGGCTGTAATAAAAGGTGTATGTGAGAGTTTAAACCTTAGCGCATCAGGATAACCCTTGTGAGTGGGGTGTGGGATTGCCATGGAGGCAGTCAGCACCAGCTAACATTGGTTGCATGTTTATTTTCTTATCACTTAAGTGCTTCTCTACCGTCAGTTTCATACTTACCCAAAAAGCCATTTTATAGAAAATAGAAACTCACAGATGATCTGCAACTTGCCCAATGTCACAGAGCTACGAGATAACAGTTAGAACTTGAATCCTGGTTGTCCCGACCCGCGGGATTCGTAGGCACGAAAAGAGAAGGGCTGAGGATTGAAATGAGGGGCTGGAGACAACTTGACGCTAGCGCATGCTTCTTTATCTTTCCTTTTCCTTCTCTTACTTTTCCATGTCTTTCTTTGCCCTGTCTTTCTTACTTCCCTGGCCTTCTCTCTGCTCCTCTCGCAGCACGCTCCTCTCTCGTGGTTCTCTTAAATCTCTTTTCTTCTCTCCTCTCTCCCGCCTTCTCCTCTTACACCCTCGTAGCTCCTCCCCCCGTACCTCCCAGTCTCATGTGATTTACAGGAAAAACCTGTGGTTCTCCGAAAGCGAAACGGTAAAGCGAAACTTAACTCATGGCACGCATATGCAACACGGCGCATGCTCCGGACGGCTCCGGACATCTCCCCCTTTTTTCTTTTAAATGAGACACCTGGCCTGTCTTAGGTTGGCACATCCCGTGGCCAGCCTTACCCGTCATTGCTAGTCCGGCACACTTGGTCCGGACCGCTGTCTTAGGTTGGTCTGGACAGGCTACGCTCTTACCCGTCTTTGGCTCACAGGTTCTCTAGGACTAAGTTGACCCATCCAGGTGCCACTGGGGAGTCCTGGTCAAGTA